AGATTTGGTAGTCCGAATTTGTTATATAGTTTTCCAGTTTGACCACCTATAGGTGTACTATTTTTAGTTATACCTATCAAGCTATCAACAAATTGCATATTTAAATAGCTTATCAAGTCTTGCATTCAATGAACTTTGATAAGATTAGCTCTCATTTCTGATAATACATATCTAAGCAGCTTTCAATAGCATTTACCCCTTTTTAGTAGTTTTGAGTTTCATATAAATATTTCCAAAAATTCTTCTACTTAAATAATCACACACCTTATTAAAGTGAAAGTAAGAAACCCTTTGAAATACTTTCCAGTGCAGTTGGGATAATTGCACAAGACGACGACGTCGTCATTGGCGGCAGCTGGCAATAGCAGAGAAAAAAAAAAAAAAAAAGACAACGACTCCACTCCGAGTGGCATTTGAAAGTCTTTGACTTGCTGCAGCTAGCAGCAGCTCAAATAAAAACCGAACTCGGCCCAAGGTAATGGGCAATTAGCTGCAGCAACCTTCTGGGCCAACATTGCTATTGGGCTAGTCAAACAAATGAGGCAAGCGGAAAAACAAACTCCGGACTGGACTGCGCCTGTCATGGATACGGCAATTTGTGCTGGCCACTCGCAGATACTCGTTGATACAGATACAGATACAGATAGCCTTTAATTGGGTTTAACTGACTGTCAATGGCGGTAGCCAGCTGGCAGGGGGTGCCCACTGCTAACTGCTCGCTGTTCATTGCTCACCCCCTGGGGATGCACTTGGACATTAAGCCAAGCCAGGGGGGTGCATCATGATCATCGAGGCAATGAGCGATCAAAGTTATGGGTCAGAGATGGTTTTTCCAGCAGGGGTTCTTCAATGGAAGGTCGTAAATTAAGAAGGAAGTCGAACGTATGCGTAATGGTCTTTCATTGTCCTTCCTATGAATGGGTTTTGGAATTCAGAAAATGTGTAGTCTTCCAAGAATATTCCTATTCGAAATCTAAGTGTAATGAACCCAAGGCATTCTTTTTTTTAAGCAAATATTTGTGGAACTCCATCACTATGCAAATATTTTGCTATCCCGCAATCGATACCCCATAATTAGCCCCACTTCCGACACATAAACATTTTTTTTTTTTTTCTTAGCTACCAGACGACCAGACCCCAATACGAAATTCCGATTTGCGGTTCGATCGGTCGTCTGCCAAAAAGTTGAGCTCATTTCGACTCATTTCGCCACCGAAGGCAAAACGGAGAATATTTACGACTATCTGATGAATTCGCATGCGTCTCAGGTTTCCGGCACGCGTTCACGCATTTCAAAGTGATCAGCCAAGTGAGGATCACGAGGGGGAGGAAGTTCGACACGTTTGCCTGATAAAAGACAAAAAAGATATTAAGAGAGAGGCTGGTCGGAACGAGATTGACAAATTTTCGGCGCATGCGCGCAGGCAGACATACAGATATAAATATTCCAAAAAGTATCTGACAGATACACGTACTGCAACGTTGTTTGCCCACCCCTTTTGTGTCCCGCCCTCTGCGGTCTGGTCATCCTTATCTGCCATCCTTATCACTTATGACTCTGTCTGCGGAATTGTAATCATAATAGTCGCCGTTCGTACCCCGTAGCGGTATTCCCAGGCTGCGGGAGCGGTTTTGCCCGCTTTTGTTGTTGTTGCTTCTGCGGCGAGGTAGCAAGGCCAGAGGGTGTCCCAGATAACTGGCTATCAACCATCGGCTATCAGCAACTGTTGGTCAGCATAATCTGCACATTTCACTCTCTGACCAAATATTTTGGTTTCGCTTTAAAATTCGGAATAAAAAAAGCAGAAAAAAAACAACAACAAATTGGGGTCTTGCTCGGTTTCGTCAAGAAACCACTGCTTAATCTCCGTCTTGAAGCGAATGACAAACAAGTTTCCACTTTCACTTGAGCATGGATATGGATGGCATGGAATGGCTGGCTGAAGAAGACCTGATAACCCAGAACTGGTTGGTGGGAATGTTATATTGTTGTTGTTATTATTGTTAGGGTTCCGCGGGCCAGACCGCTGAGCAAACATATTGTTCTGTGGAATATTTGCCAGAGCTTTCCTCTGATAAGGACAGACCTTACTCAATTCAGGGAAACGGGGTCAACCAGCGGAGAGATCTTTTCACCAGAATGATCTTTATTTCTAATAATGAAGTTGGCAGAGTTCTAGATTGGAATTCGCCTGATGTAATTTCTTATGAAATGCATTTTATACATATTTTTTTATCTTTTACTCTCTTAAAAGGAATTTTAACTTTAAAAAGGTTGATTCATTTCATATGAATATCACTTTCTTACTCATTAATATTTGTTCATATTTATTTATTAATGAAAATAAATATTGAATCAAAGCTTTCATTAATGTAATGTTACCTTAATGTTGAAACATATAAATATTTTAGATTCTTAGATGATAATTTATGATTTATGAAAAATATTGCATCCTTAAAAATCCTCTTGATAGTTAACAATATTTTTTCATTTCAAAGTTTGCAATCTTAAAAGTATGTCTTTGGGTTATTAGGTTCCTAAAACTTTGAAAAAACAAAACGATTGGCAGTCAGCAGTGTTTGTTGCCCTCTATAATGATTTCTTTTTATGTGGCAGATAGAGTTTCGAGTTAGACGAGTTGGACTGTAAATTAGCCCCCCTTTCTAGCCCCCTCCCCCATTGAACTACATGTGCAAGTGCTTCATCAAGTTTTAGTATGTCCGCCATAAACACCGCATAAAGATGATGGCATTAAGTCCTAAGCCCGGCGAAAATCCCCGACCAAGTGTAAAAATCCCAGCATGGAGCTGAGCTCAAAAAGCGCAAGCCAGCAAACAGTAAACATTAAAAAGTAAGAAAAAAAAACACAGAAAACACTGACGAACTAGAGGGGAAAAAAAACAAGAAGCGCTTTCGTCATCCCGACGTCATAAACAAAAAGATATTTCTCTTAAGTCAAAGCTAATAGCTCTTAAATCTTAAATCAAAGTGAGATCGGCAAAAGAAAGGCAGGAAAATATCCAGTTTTTCGTTGCCATAAGATACGATATGAGATACCTGCGGAATAGCTCAAAGATACGTTGCGATATCACTTGTATCTTTTTGAGTTACGTTACGTAAATCCGCTCTTTTATGCGGGGGAGAGAGAGAGATAAATTGCGATAGAGAGACCGAGTGCGACGGCCGAGTGCATCTCTCGAGTGAAAGAGAGCGCGGCGGCGCAGTAAAGCAGAGATTAAGATACATAAACAAAAACGGCAAAGCATGCGAAAAGCCAGCACAAAGCAGAGAAACAAAAACAAACGTCCCGAGAAACCGGAAAATGTCCAATGCCAAATGGCAACCAGAGCGGGAGCGACAGAGACCGCAATAGTCATAGAGAGCGGCAATGAGAGCGCGCGCAGTCGCGAAAAGAGCGAGCCGAGTGCAAGAGCCGAACGAAAAGCCGAAGCACAAAGCCCGGCGATTCCGCCGCACACAGAATCATTCTTGAAAACGCGCGCGAACCTTTCGCACCAGCAGACCGCAGATACAAAGATACAAATATAAAAAAAAATTCGCAAAAAACACAGCCAGTAATTCGCAAGACCGAGTGTACGAAAATCGCAAAAGCCGAGTGGAAAACGCTTAACAGAAAAAAGTAAAGAGGAAATCCATGGGCAACCAAAAAGTGCAAGTGAAGTGAGGAACGGAGTTCTTACTTAGCCAAAAGCTTAAAATACAACAAGAAAAGAAAAACAAATTAGGAACGAGGCCTAGTGGCCCAAATTCAGCTAAAGCAAAAGAAAGCAAAGAAGATCAAGCGAAAATTTGAATAATTAAAAATAAACACGCGAAAGTGTGCGAGTGTGTGAGAGTGCGTGCGGCGTATCCGTCAGATACGCAAATCAAACAACAACAACAACAACGTAGAATTATAATAAAAAAAACCGCTGACGTATTTTCACCCGAATACAGTTATATAGCCGGCCGGCTTTTTGTGCCCAATTAACGCACATTCAACAAATTGCCCGAGGCAAAAAAATAAAAAGAGGAAAATCGAAAACAGAAATTATTACATTGTTGGCCATCGAAAATATCGAATTAAACCAAGTTTGTAGGCCGTAATAAATTGTAACAAGAAAAAGAAATATATATATATATATATACTTACCTATTCGTCTGCGGATTCGTTCTGGTGCAATATATAGTGTAATATATATATAGAGAGAAAAGTTTATAAATAAATATACAATAACTGAATGCAGATGTTTGGCATAATAAGTGTCACAATCAATTGCTGAGCGGCGAGATCTTGAAAATACGCTAAAAGGTGATTGCATAAGGATATGGCTATAATGGCAAACTGTTACCAAGTGACCTCATTCAAGGTTGTCCCCTTAATAACCCACAGATACTGCAGTTTACTTGGTTTCTCAATTAGCGCCCACGCGGAAAGTTTTTCTCCTCATTTTTTTTTTTTGTTTTTACTAACTCACCTGCTGAATGTAGAGATACTTAGATACATTTAAAAGAAGGGGCTTAAAGTGGTCTGTAATTAACCCTGAATCACTCATTATAATTTTCGTTTTTTTTTTCTCTCCTGCCCTGTGAACTATAATTTAATTGATGTTTTCACTTCTCGGAAATGAGTTACTGCACCGTTTTCGACTTTCATCGAATCAGATTTCCAGCGAACAGATACTATTATTATTATTTTTTAGAAATATTTTGCCTTGCGTGACCGTTAGGTGCAACAATGTTAGATGCAGAAGATATCCAGCAGGAGAATATGTGTTCCATTTCGCCATTTTCTCAATTAGGAATCGCTCTAAAGTGCCCACACTGGGTCATTAATTTTTTAATGGGATGCTCAATAAAGTTTGCTGTGCGCTTTAATTGTTGTTCAAGCATCGTGTGACTCACAGCTTGGCACTTAGTGACGTGATAACAAGAGACACTGACTCTGACTAAATCGAAGTTTAAAATTTTCCAACTCTCTATCTTTTGTTGCCCACAGGAACCCATTGAGCTGAAGAAGCGTCTGGAGGAAGTGCGTCTGCTGGAATCGCGACGCTCCGCCCGTCTGGCAGATCAGGATCGCGACACGGACTTTGCCAGACTCGCCGACATGAGTGGCGAACGCCGCCGAACCACCACACACAGTATTGAGGTGCCATCGCAGCTGACGGCGCAGCACAAGTGAGTACTAGCTACTATATAATTATTAATATGAAAAGTATCTAGATACATGAAAATGATATGGTAAAGAAGTTGGCTTAACTAGCACAGGAAAAGAGAGAGAGTTTCAAAGACATATCTAGTCAAAATGTATCTTTAACTTGAGTATCTGTTTTGATGTGTACCTACCTATAGGTAGGCTTACCTTACCCCACTATTTTTTTGCCGGTCTTACCCGGTTTTTCTTTCGCATTTTATTCGTTCGTTTTGGTTGTTTGTTTCTTTGACTTTGGCTTGGCTTTTGCATAAATATGCAACGATTGGCGTCTGTGGAGACTGGGCCATATCAATAATTTATAAGTGGCGACAAATTAGCGGAACCGGCCACCAAGTCACGGACATCGACCGATCCATGTATAATATCTATAATAAAATTGTGTCTCCGTCTTGTCGGCCAGCTGCGCCCTCAAACCGGCCACGCCTAGCTATTTAGCATAGACGCCGCCGCCACCGCCGCCGCTTTAACTGCACTTACATAAAGAGTTCTTCCACCACCCCCGCACGTTTTGAACCGTACTTCCCCTCTCCTGCTTTCAGCTTGGCTTTCTACAGTGTTCCTTCCATTCCGGCAAAACGACAGCTGATTGCAAAATAATTCAAATTTTCAATTACTAGCCGCTCAGACGTCGCGACGACTACGTTGAACTTAAAGACGGCGGCGTCGACATAACAAAAAAAAAAAAAAAGAAAAAAACAAAATACGAAATACTAACATTTGATTACGAAGGCAAACAGTCGCGCCGGGTGTCATAGTCTAAGTAAATTCTCTAATCAAGTGCCGGGACTTTTGTTTAGAACAAAAAAACAGTAGTTGGGATATTTCCTTTACCTAACTTAGCTGACTCATCTTTGAGTTTATTTTTCATCATAATCAGAGTGACCATGCTATAGAAAAGAAAGATGTATGGCTTAGTGTTACCTTGCAGCTGGAAATTAGGTCAGAAATAGCTTATTTTTCTTATAAATTATTCAAACTTTTTGAGTTATTCAAAAGAAACAACGAAATCAGTTTGAGGAAACTCTTGGGTATCTGTAAGTGAACTAAATACTTCAGCTTGTCTCTTGGCCCCATTAATATCTGGTATCAACTGCAGAGCATCAAGTTTCCGACTTGCAATGGGAGCGATCGTCACTCGCCACTGATGGTTGCGTATTCCATTTCAATTTCAATTGATAAGCCTCGCGCGCCGCAGTCGAAACTATTAGTCAAGTGTGCAAAAAGCAGCAACATCAGCGCTGAATGCCGGCCACGTTCTCAATTGATAATAAAAATAATAACAATAATAATCAAAATAAAGAAAGCAAAAAGATGGAAAAAAAAGAGGGAACTAAAAACTGAAAACAAAAAGCTCAGGCAGGCGGCGGCAAAATATGGTTCGTCATGTCCATGTCTAGAAGTGTGGGGTTAAGGGAGGGTGGTGGCTTCGGAGGGGGTTAAGCGGCATAGAGGGGCACTTCAATTGCGTCGCAAATGCCAGGCGACCATCCAAAGTCGAAAACAGCTGGAAAAACTAAAACTAAAGCCAGGCGGCAATGTTGCTGCTGGGGTGGCCGATGTTGCTGCTGTTCTTGCAACTGTTGCATGGACGGTTGCTATTGTAGTTTATGTTGCTGCTGCCTAAGTTGCTATTGCTTCTGCTGCAGGCAAACGAGAAACTGCAACAAAAGTCAACAACATTCGTTGCATGCCACTCTGTTGCCTTTAGTGTTTCAGTTTCATTGTGTTCCGTCGTTTTACTGTAATAAAATTCAAATAAAATTCAATTGAGTTCAGCGCGAGTCGCTGGGCCTGTTTAATTTAATTAATTACAATGCCAGAGAGCGCGCGCGTTAGTTGTTGTGGCATGTGGCATGTGGCACAGAGGCACCCTGTAGTTGTTGTGAAACTAAAAACGAAAAAAGAAGAATAATGCCGGTTGCCTTGCCGCAGTTTGAGTTAGTTTATCACAGCGCCCCCGGTTTTATTTTATTTTATTTGATTTTGTTATTGTTTCGAAACTCGCCTGCGAATGCGGAAGTATTTTTTCCCGCTCACACACAGATACGCAAATAAGCTGTAAGCACAAAGCTCTCAGCAGAGTCAAGAGTGTGTGTGTGTGTGTGTGAGTGTCTATCGTCGCCATATTCTTTATGTTTTGATATGCCCCATCTGGAGAGAGAGATAGAGAGAGCAAGGGAGACGGCACTCACACACACGTGTAATGATAACAACTCGCTCACCTTGCACGAAACCGCTCCCCAAGCTCCCCCCAGCCACGCCCCGCTGCCCGCCCACCGAGTGACACGCGCTTCTCGCGTAATGCGACGTAATATCAAAACCCACCAGTCCCCCGACTCCCCACTCCCTGCTTTATAAACCCCCCTCCGCTACGCCCACCCACCGCCACCTCACCACGCTAATCTGAATGTGATTTTCTCGCTTATGCGAGCTTCTTTCCTCATGGAATTTGGTTTTTAATGTGTTTTTTCTTAATGTTCATTAATTTACATAGTTTCGCCGGCGATCTGATAGTTTTCGTAAACAGAGCATTTTCCTTATTTGCTAATTCAGCAGGTACACAATGGTCAAAAAATATTTACCATTTCCAGATGTCTGCCACATAAAACTACTTTTAATTTGATGTAATAGTTAGAAAATGCTTAAGCTGGCTGGAAAAACTGATAGGTTTGCTAGGAAAAATACTTGCAAGGAAATCCCTATCACTTTGGGGAAGTACTCGCTAACGCTGTAATCTCGGAAAACCCCTAGCTAACAAGGAAAATCCTACGACAAATCATCATCTTTGATTCTCGAGTAGCACGTCCACAACCTTTCATTACCAGCCATTATTTTATTGGCATTGCAATTGCAGTTGACAGACAAAGAACGCATAATGATACAGCAGAAAAAAAACAACAACAACAGAGAGCAGAGAGACCATAAAAAATAATCATAAAAAAAAATTGAAACGAAGGAAAAATAAATGGAAGCGAATTAAATGCGGAAAAAAAGTGGTAATAAATATAATAAGCGCGTAATTATCGCGTAAATGTCAATTTACGCGGCGAATGCGTTGCGTCAGTGCTAATTTTTAACGCTCGAGTGGCTGGCAGACTTCATCTATAAGCATGTCTATATACATATATATATATACCTCTATATAGATGTTCAGTAGGAAAAGTGGGCCCCTTTTGAACCCCCCGCTGGGGGTTCGTTTGTCTAATGAAAGCGTGTAAGCGTCAATTGGCCAGGTTACTCAGTTATAGTTAACTCTGTTATTGTTGTTGCTGCTGTGACTGCCGCTGCTGCTGTTGTAATTGCAATGATTAACAACAGCAACCGTAGCCCCTCCCTCTTCATTTTCCAGTTGCATTCGCCTGCTCTGTTGTTTATTGCAAAAACAAACAATATGGGAAAACTGGCAGCGAGCAAAGAAAAGCAAAAGAACAGCACAAAAGCACACACACACACACAGCCCCCATCGGAGCAACAATAATAATAAAAAAAATAATTTACAAACAAGTTTACCGTTGCAAAACAAAATCAAAACAAAAACAACAAAATTAAAAACGAAAAAAAAAAAAAAAAAAAAATTGGGAACAACAATAACAAGCTGTAAATAATTATTCAACAAGTTCTACATAGATAAACGGCTAGGAATATGTCTTAAAGACAATTAACCAAATTGACTTGGGCTTTAAGTAATGTATTAGTCATGGCTAGTATTGATTTGATGGCCATTTCCAATGCAAATTGGCTGAGAAGCATTTAAGCTACCCTTTGCCACAGAATTCCAATGACGAAGGCTGCATAAACAACGTTTTCTGAGGTGACGTCAAGAAATTAGCAATAACAACGGGGGAAAGCGCACGACAAAAATCAGAAAATCAGAAAACAACAACAAGGTGAATGGGGTGAGGAAATTCAAGGGGTGGTGGGGCTAAAACAGAATTCAAATCCAAGTTGGTTGGCAGCGGCAATTAGCCGAGACTTGAAAAATATTTACCAATTTAGTTTTTTTGTTGTTGTATTTTAACTTTAGCTTTGTTTTCCACTGCTGCTGCTGGCAAGACTATGTACAAATATTATTATGAGCGACTGTTTGTCTTGCCCTCAAAAATCCGCCGAGAGCCGAGCAGAAACGCTCGCAAAAAACAGAAGAAGAAGAAGAAGAAGAAAAACGAAAAAAAAAAAATATAATACTTAATTTCAGTACAATAAAAAGTCAAGTCGAGCGCAAAAGTGGGTCAAAATTATTATTGAAGCAGAACAAAAACAAAGCCAGCAGCAAGGCAACGATAATGGCAATGCAGCAACAACAACAAAAGTACGGCGGGAAGGGTGGTTAAGGGGGGACTTCGGCGGGCGAAAGAGAACAAAATTTATAATAATTTTCTAAGCGACGGCCCCTCGACGGCAAATTATTGAAATGCATTCGCATTTCGCATTCACCCGGCCAGGAGAGACACTCCAATACCAGGGACCATATAACCTATATATATACACCATATACCTACCCCCCACTCTCCTTCCCCTTCTTTCCCTAGAATTTTCCCCGCCTAAAAACCAAGGGGTATCCATTTGCCCATGCACCGTTCCAATGAACGTAAACACAATTTCCCAATGTTCTGCACGAATAGTTTGTTTGATCGTAAAATTTTATTTCTGCATTCAAATCGCAGCGCTAAACAAAATGCAAAAGAGAGCCAAGAACGAAGGAAAAAAACTAAAATGCCATTGCATTTTGTACAGAGAAAGAAAAGAGGATGTACATCTTACAAAAATATTACCAACTTTAAGTTTCTTAAGGGCTTAACTTAACCTCGTGCTGAAGCCGTTAAGTCTCTTGTGAATTTCAATATTTTCATATTTATAAATTTTTATTAATTCTTAACTTTTCTCAGTGCCCTTTGTTTTTTCCGTTTGGGCCTGTCTTTACCCTTTGCTTTCTGCTTATGATTTGGTCAAAAAGAATGAGTTT